AATTGTAGTCGGTGAGTGTGTACAGAGAGGTATCGAAAAGACAACAATCTGTCGATATTTTTCAAGTCCTTAATGTGTCATTCAGTCAGAAAATCCAAAGACGGCTGTCAAGTGAAACTGCGTCAAAAACAAGGGTTTTTCCGTATCAAGTAGCACCATGAATACACATGCAAAAGCACCAAAACCAGTGAAGTGGTTTCAAAATGTTCGAATAGTGATTATTAAAATTCACCTTACTGTGAGGGTGAGGTTAAGTGAATAACCACACTATAGCCCTGTATCACAAACACAAAGTAGTCTATAACCTGAGTAGACCTGGCGTGGTGAAGAAAGTTGGTAACCTACATCTAAAGGTCACTAAACGTCAGTGGATTTTGTAACGTCATCCGATGCGATTGATGAGGAAAGGCTGAGCACAATGAAGAGCGAAAGAAACTCAAACAAGAGTCTTCGCAACGATCGTCAGCAGAAGTGGTGCTCAATGTTTACTCTTATATTCGCTATGGATGTTCTGACTTCCTGAAGAGCAACTCGTTGCTGGAATACCCAGACGGTATTGTCCCTGTAGATGAAGATGTGGATGACATGCAAACTTTTTTCAATGCCTTCTCAGAAACCTGAGTATGGTAAAGTTTTAGTCGTCAAATGAAACCCAAGCTCAGAGAACAGTTAGCTTTGAACATCCACACACTGAGTTACAAGTATTCGCCACAATTACTCGGATCGTAATCAAGGGATGCAGAACCGAAAAACGATAAAGATGACGTAGAATTATTAACAGATTAAAGAATAACGAACTAACGGTGTAATCCTCGAAGGCAACGGATTAGTGATAAGTTACTACAGTACTTGAAAGTGAGTAACTGCTATTCGTTATTCGGCCTGTTTTGCTGATTAATCAAAAATCCACCAAATTAGCATTTTAACCAGTGGGGATCGTTGAGTCACTTTAAAATGGAAACCTGCCCACCAAGACAACGTAGCAGCTTTGAGTCCGTATTAATAAAGCACATCAATAGTTTACAGCTTTGCTGAATGCAGTGAATAGTTTCCAAAAGATTTTATGCAACAGTTCTACTGGAGGCTTCAAAAGTGGCTCGATTATTGTGTTAATTTGTCATTGTTGTAATGAACTGTACATAATGGCAGGCGATTATTTCGTCCTACGAAAATGTGTTTATCAGTGTGCATAGACATAGCTTCTTCTTTGTCCTTTGAGTTCCTAGTGGAACATAGGGCTTCAGCAGCACACTTCCATTGCACTTTCTTCTCTGCAGTCTTTTCAACTTGGTCCCACGAATGCCCAGAAGCTTTCACTTCTTCCTCACTCGATCTCCTCCGTATCACCCTCCGACGCTCAACTAGTCGTCTCCTGTGTTATTTCCACTCCACGATTTGGCCTAGCGCATGATGTCCCCAAACGGTCTAATATAATCTTCAGTATCGAGCGTAAACAGCTGTTGACGAATGTGTGTAGTTTGTTGCAAATGCTTTTCGTGACGCGCCAAGTCTCTCAACCATCACATAGAAACACTGACTGACTTGACTGAATTGGTGTTGAAGATCCGGATCCTGATCTTGATGGCAAGTGGAGTGCAGTAGATCTCCGCACTGGCTTCAGGTTACTGAAGGCTTGTCTCGCTGTCATTCCGATTCTGGCTTCAACGTCCTTATCTGTGCCTGTGCAGCCTGTAGTTGAAACTATGTTGCCTGAGCAGGTAGGGGAAAGAGACTAATTCCTTTAGATTTCTCTCATTGATGGTGACCGGTGCTTGTTGTTGTTGTTGTTGTTGTTGTTGTTGTTGTTGTTGTTGTTGTTGTTGGTGGTGGTGGTGGTGGTGGTGGTGGTGGTGGTGGTGGTGGTGGTGGTGGTGGTGGTGGTGGTGGTGGTGGTGGTGGTGGTGGTGGTGGTGGTGGTGGTGGTGGTGGTGGTGGTGGTGGTGGTGGTGGTGGTGGTGGTGGTGGTGGTGGTGGTGGTGGTGGTGGTGGTGGTGGTGGTGGTGGTGGTGGTGGTGGTGGTGGTGGTGGTGGTGGTGGTGGTGGTGGTGGTGGTGGTGGTGGTGGTGGTGGTGGTGGTGGTGGTGGTGGTGGTGGTGGTGGTGGTGGTGGTGGTGGTGGTGGTGGTGGTGGTGGTGGTGGTGGTGGTGGTGGTGGTGGTGGTGGTGGTGGTGGTGGTGGTGGTGGTGGTGGTGGTGGTGGTGGTGGTGGTGGTGGTTGGGTATCTTCATCAACTCTGTCTTCTCGACATTCACTTCCAGTTCAGTCTTCGCTGCGCTGCCTCTTCTGTCAACTTGTTGGTTTTCGCCTGTAGATCTTCGACTTTCTACGACAAGATATTAGACATAAATCATCATCGGCGGTGAAATCCAAATCTTCTCATAGGGTCTTTTCATCGGTCTAGTCAGCGCATGCCCCTCTTCTCGCTCCTCACAGTTTCTTGCATGATCCAGTCCAGTCCAATCCAGTCGACCACAATCAGGCAGATCATCGGTGATGATAGTAGTTTGCAACGTTGTCTTACTCCTGTCTTCACTTCAAAGGCGTCACTGAGCCTTCCATTGTGAATCACTTGGAATGCAGCATCATATAGTATATAGCTGTTGAATGAGGTTGATAAAGGTTCGTGGTACACCGTCATGTTGAAGCAGCTGCCTGCCAAGCTACTTCTCGGTCGACGCTGTCGAATGCCTTTTCGAAGTCGATGAAGTTGAGGTAGAGAGTTGACTGCAATTCTATGCTATGTTCTATGATCATGCGTAGCTTTGCAATTTGATCCAGCCAGCCCGTTCCGGTAGTAATTTTGAATCCAGAGCATATTTTGTGTCGCTTCAGGATGATGGGGCTTAATATTTTGTTTGGAGTGGAAAGGAGCATGATTCCGCACCACTTCTTGCAAAGACTTAGATCACCCTTCTTTGGGAGTTTGACAAGGTAGCTCTTCTTCCAATCAATCTGCAGGTACCTTTCCTTCCTTCCCCCAAAACCTTCTGCAGTAGTGGCGTGTGCATGTCCCCTGTTGTCTCTGCATCTGTTTTCAGTGCTTCTGGTAGAATTCTATCTGGTTTTGCTGCTTTGCCGGATTTCAGTAACTTTATGGCGTTCAGGACTTCACTTGTGCTTTTGTCGGATGGCTTGTGTTCACTGGTAATTCTGCGGCTGGGCTGCCGGTGGTATTTCTGGACGAGTTGCAGGTGATGGTGGTGGTCGTTTCAAGAGCTTTTTGAAGTGGTCAGACCACTGTTTCCTGTCTTTCTCCTGTTTGGCGATGATCGAGTTTACTCCACTATCGTTCATTGGTTTCGTCTGCGTTGATCTCTTTTCGCATAGTAACCTGGTTATTTGATACAGTGTTGTCAGGTCTGTGTCTGTCCTACATGCAGCCTGTTCTGCCTCACTTGCCAATGTGTCGTAGAAGTATCTTTACTCTTTCCGCACAATCTCCTTCACTTCTTTGTACAGTGTTTTATACGTTGTGCTCAGTTCTTCTTTTCGTTGTTCATCCCCGCATTGCACTGCACTGCTTCATCTTCTGCTTCACCATCTTCCTCTCTCTCCCTGCTCTATCAGCTTCCATGTGTCCGTCGAGATACATTCCTTGTCTTGCCGCTCCTTCTTCCTTCCTAATACAGTTATGCAGGTTTCTTTGCAAACAGCTTTCAAAGAGTTCCAGTTTTCTTTCACGCAGGTTCATTCAGGGAAGTTGTTCAGTGTCTCCCATTCTCCTCTGATGACTGACTGACGTGAAGATATCCTTTGCAGTTTCGTCCTTCAGTTCACTTTCGGTTCTGGCTGTTCAACTTGAACTGTGGTCTATCACTAGCTTATCTGAAGGTTTCCAACTTGATTTGGAAGGTTCCTTGCACTAGACAGTGAGTGGTCTGAACCCTTCTTGATCTTGTTGGCTGATCCAGTTGGCTGCGTCTCCACTTTCTTCACATTGAGATGAAGTAGATCTGATTTTTAGTGTAGTGTGTCCTGGTGTCTGGTGAAATCAAATCCATGTCGCTGCCTTGTGAATATCCTTGTGTTTGTACACGCTGCCTCGCCTCCAATCACCAAATCGTTGAATGCGCAGAAATCTGCAAACAGTTCTCCATTCTGATTCATTTCACCGAGTGTTTGTCGACCCATGATCAGTTCTCTTTCTCTGTTGTTCGCTCTCATTTCGGCATTCTGTCACCCCATCCATTAGAATTTTGATGTCGCCATTGCCAACTGGGGTGTGGTTTTGTCGAGTACTGATTCCAGTTGTCTGTAGAATTCTTCCTTCTTCTCTTCATCGGCATTATTTGTAGGTGCATAGCGTAGCGAGGCGTTGCATTGTATGATTGTGACTTTCCTTCCTTTTGAGTTGAACCTTGCTGTTATGATCCTGGAGGGAAAGATTGGTTCCCACTGTATGAGAGCATTGGATACTCTTGGGGATATCATGATAACCACTCCATAACTCAGTGTGATCGTGGTTGTTGTCTGGGTAAGAAAATCCGAGTAGATTGTTGACTCTGTCGTTGACGTTTTGGAGAGTCCACTTCTATTCCATCTGCTTTTGTAGATTCCAAGCACTTCTATGCCATACCTCTTCATCTCTTTTGCAATCTGGGCAGCCTTGCCAATCAGCTTCAAACATTGTGCGAACATTCCATGTTTCCGTCCTTACTTTTTCTTTCATCGAGAGGAGACACGTCAGCCAATTGGCTCCCCGAAGACTTTTACCAAGCGGTGTCATTTCGTCTCTCTGATTCCAGCGAAGAATAAGTTTATTTTCATTTTTTTTAATTTTTCTTGTGCTTTGAAGTTTCGTTAGCGTTGGATTGGTTTACGAGGAAGAGTTGCAAACACTATACCCAACGTTCCTTCTTTCTCCGGGCATGGGATCGTCTAGTAACTAGTGAACTAGTAAACTAGGGGGGTTGCATAAACACAGATGGGATATTGTAATTGATGAATCACATTAAAAGTCGCTTGGTAACAGTAATCGAAAAGTTTAGAAATAAACTTACACGAAACCTTCTTGTTAATACCGGCCACAAAGCCAACAAAATGACTGCAGTCGATAGCAAAGCAAAAGTATGGTAAGGATCTGGTAAGCGACTAGCTAAACAGAGAGCCGCTAGTATAGCTGAACTCAGAGAAATAGTATTCGAACCAGGTTTACGAGGATGACCCTGCCAGTGGGTTTTGTAATCGAAACAGTCCAGTAGGCGAGAAGGAAAAAGTAGACATAGCATATATAGAGTCTGTGCTGACACTTGACAAAAGAGAATGAAGGAACTGGAGCGAGTAGGAAGCAAAAAGTGAAAAATACACGCCTGATCTAATTTCAAGTATTACTGAAAATACAAAAAAAACGCACAACCAGGTGATTAATTCAAGCAAAAATTAATTTGAAAAAGAAAGATATATTAGGATTTTATTTTATAAGACGGTTAAAAATAGAAAATGCATACTGCGCTTCTCAGTTAAATGAAGCGTTAAATAACCAGTTTCGTAACTTGCAGTCACCAACTCCATTTCACATACATTCACAAAGTGTGTCTGAATGTTCAACAGTGAGTCTCATGAAACATCAAAATCAAATAAGACAGATTTACCAATTCAATAGGCAAAATGTTCCCAAGTAAACTAAAGACGCAGACAACATGATATGACTGATAATTGGTAGTTTCATACACTCCACACAATTGTATACCACAATGACCCAACGAGGTATGCTCCTGGAACACCTGTTTATTCGAGGTCCTACCATACCAAAGGTTAGTTAGATAGCGGTGACACCAAGAACAAGATACTCACCGAAGAGACTCTTTTCAACGAATTTATTTCCAAGCTGTACAGTCGTATATACATGACATTAGAAAAATTATTTATGTAGTGGTAAGAAAAAAGGCGGTTACCCTCATAGTTCAAATCGCCACGCTATGATGGTGTACTGCTGATCAGACGGCGGTGTGACAGCGGTAAAGTGTTTCCCGCTGATGCCCAGCAATATCATGTTGATGCTGCCTACCCTATCAAAAAGTGAGTTAAAAAAAGGGGATCCCAAAAATAGCTAACCACCCTCCTACCCCATAGCATAACAATGTCCGTGACACTTGCTTGTAATCGGATTCGCAATAAAAAAACTAAACTACCAAACTTTTTAAAATATCGTGTATGTGTGTGTGCATCTAACCTCAAGCAGATTACCTTTGAGTTTTGAGTAATAAGGCACTAACACTTCCTACTCAGACGCCTCAAAAACAACCAGTTTCCACACTGTGGGCAGTCGGAAAGTGTCAACCACCATCATAGCTCTCGATGCTCATATCATTATCAACTTTCCACATATGTGCTTTCTAATATTTCCTCACATCTCTCGGTCAACATTTCTAATTCATCTTTAATTTGTCCCAGCCCTGCAACTCTTGATAACAATTCGGTTTTGTGGAATAGCATCCTCGGTCTCCTGAAACCGTGCTCCAAACTGGAGATTGGAACTTCCCCATCTTCCATCGAATCGGCCAAAAACCTTTTCCAGTCAAAAATCTCGCGTCTCCGGCCACAGATGTGAGCCGTGTTTATGAGACACTCATCCAGTGTGTTTATTAACTTGACCTCACCCGGCCAACATGGTGAGTCCGAGATAGTCACTCTTCGACTTCCTGGAAATTCTATGGCTAGTTTTCGCAGTCTTGCAGACGTAGGTGTGACATTAAGTGCCGAGGCAGGAAGCATACTGTTCGACTGAACGGCACAGTAAGGACAAAAAACAATGATGAAACTCGCTGTTGTCTTTTCGTAATCACTGCTTTTGCACCCACTGACTGCAGTTCGGATGAAGTGAAGGATAATGATGAGTCCTACCGAAAACTGTCTAGCCTCCTACTGAAAGCCAAACGTTCAAAAGTGGTTGTTGCAGCTGGTGGTTTCAATGCACAAGTGGGTGGGCTAAGTCCAGCAGAAGGAGACTTAAGTGACAATTTCGAAATTCCAGTCGAACGAACAGGTAACGGTGATCACCTTCTACAACTATGTTCAAGCAACCATCTATTTCTTGCCAGCACGGACTTCAGACATAAAGAGAGACACTGTCTGACGTGGCGTGCACCGAGCTCAAGTCAGCGGTGAACACAGACACGTCATACTGCTACCAGTTGTCACTGGATAAGGTAGCTTGTTGTGGGGCAGTTATTCAGACAGCAACCACACGTTGGCTCGAGAACGAGTATGCCTGCGCCAGATATTCAACCTCCACCAAGTTTTGGAACGCAGACAGACTTACGGATACCCGATACTGTCGTATTTCAGGAATTGAAGGTGGTTTTCGACTATGTCAGTCGAGAGCTCTTATAGTACTGTCTCTCACTGGAAGAAGTGCCGAGTACTCATAAAAGTCTATTGGAGGTTCTGTACTTGAACAACATTTGGATGTGTTAGAAGCAGTTGTGATTTGTCAGGTGAGCTATGTACCTAGAGTGGTGCCCGCGAAAGGCGTTCACTCTTATTCACTTTTATTGTAAGCGTAGTTATGGAGGTCTCCTCCTCGTCGTCTGACTTTATGGCCATTGAGCTTATCATAGGGAAATTCTTAGTAGATCACAGTTTGCAGATAATATAGCATTGTTAGATGAAGATGCTAAAAAGACGCAGTCTTCTGGACACGGTAAGTGACAATTTGATGATGTTTGGGATGTATTTCTCTCCACCAAAGTTCAAATTGTTGCACCAGGACTGCTACTGGTCTTCATTGGTGCTTTGTCTAGGGAGTGAAGTGGTTGAGCGCGTTGAACACTTCACTTACTAGGAAGTTAGATCAGCCGTGGTGGTTAACCAACGAAATGTCTGCACAGATACAAAACGTTCGTTAATATACGCCACTTATTGTGTCACCGTGATATCCGATTGTCTACTAAGGATCGAGTGTACTGTGCTACAATCGGCTCTGTTCTACTATACGACTGTGAAGCATCGCCACTAAAGGTTGAAAAAATGAGGCTTCAGGTATTTGACCACCGCAGCTTTTGTAGCACAGGTCGTGTGTCGTGGTGTCACTGTATGAGTAACATCGAAGTTAGACGTAGAGTTTGGGTAGAAGAGGAAAGCCTGTTGATGAGCCTTTGAACTTTTATCAACTGAGATGGCTGGGACATGTGCTACGCGTGAGTACTAACCATCTGTCCTTTCGCACAGTGTTAGTTGAAGCCAATGAAGTAGGTTGAGGCTGGGAAAGGGTTGGAGGAGGTCAGACTAGACCACGGGGTTAGTCCATGAAGTATTTGACCGCTGATGTGAGCTGTTGAGGAGAATGTAAACACTTCTATTGGAGTCTGCTTGACAATGGAAACTAGCGGTTGGAGACTGAAGATGATATTGCTGAGAAAGGATCTCATTGGCACTGATATATCCGCACATTGTCCTTGTCGTAATCTTCATACGGAATTTCAGTATCCTGTCATCTCAGTTTGCCCCCTTTTGACGATTTGTTTTACCATTTTTGACTGCTTCCTCTTCATTTCCTCAAATTTTAACTCAGTGCATCTTCGCTTGGTGCGTTGATATATGTTATGGCAAATCGGACCGTCATGCAGTAACACTAGGTCTTATGCTGATATTTTTTCTTGCTCCTTACTTTTCTTTAAATGCAGTGGAACACTTGCAAAGTTTCACAACTAACTGAGTTAGATTTTTGAACTTGTTCACTAATCTAAAACTGATGAATTTTAGATTGGATTCATCTGTCTGATATAGCACGTGTCACTTAATGAGTAAGGTTCCAGATACAATTTACGGCTAATTTTTTATGAAACCCTAGGCAACAGATTGTGCTATAAACATACAGTTCATATCAGTTTATTATCGTAGGGTTCGTCGAATAGATTAACCGAAAATTGAATTACACACTATCGGTGTCTAAGTTTCATTCCTACGTTAATAAAATCTTAAAAAACTGGACAAAAAGAAAAGGCAATTGTAACTGATATGATGACACACAATGATAACTTCATCGACAGTCATATAATAATAGATTCATAAGAATCTGACAATCCAAAAAGCTTATCACTGGGATACTAGTGCGATTTTCTTTTGTTGAAAAATACTGCATATTCGCATCTTAAATCTCTTCGAACATTATTCAACAATTGCTGGAAGAAAAGCAACAAAATGTTTTCGAAGTTGCTGAAAAATAAAATCTCCAATAATTGCTAAAATATCTCGAAGCAAAGAGCCTAATATTGTATTCAAAATCGGTCAGGTGGCTCTCATTTAATACTCCGCTATCACACTGAACTTGGTGTCATTATTAGATTTTATACACTTTCAGAGACGAAGACAAATAAAAGTAGTAAATGTGAAGCAAATGATTACCTTCATCAAATTGTTTTTCATTTGCCTCTTTCATCAACCAAAACAACCATACCCAGTAGTTGTGAGAAAGAGAGACCAGTATTGAGATATCTGGGTTCAATCCATCCGAGAAGTAGATAGAAATATATGACCATAAATAGAGACAAGCTAATATATGAAAAAATTAAAACAAAACATACCAACAGAGCTGTTGATAAATGCTTCCAGCAGGAATGATGACATCACGTAAGTGAAGTTTGGGCAGAAATACTAGTTAATCGTTACGATATTAAACAATGGAAACCTACAGTTTTCTTTCAATTCAGAAAGGAAATTTGAGTCTACGTAATTATCAGGTAGTTCACGATTACCGTAGAGACGGTAGTTCCACTTTTTTATGTGTGGAACACTACCTACCATTGCCAGTAAAGGTTAATAATGATGACCAGCTTGCACAGAAGAGGTACACATATGTGTCATTATCTAGAAATGTAAAAATACAGTTAAATTTGCGGTGCATAAACTTCAGTCCCATCCAAGAGGCCAATCATCGCTACAAATAAATTTAATCATATCAAAGAACTACTTAGAAAAATCTAAACCACAGCCAAAATGCCAACCAGTTACATTGGAATGAGACTACAGATTTTGAAAACGTTTGCTTAACACATGGTTGTTTGACGAAAAAGTATATGAAGCAGATGAACACAATGTGAAGCGTAACTAGGAATTAAATACTTTGTATGTATATATATAGCTTACATAATTACCACGCAGACACCGTGTAGTTCTTGCAGGTTACTGATCAGTGGAGCTGTAGCTCATTGTTTTAAGCACTTTACTTTCAACTGGCAGGTAACAGGTTCAAATACAGCCCAACTTACCGCAGTCTGGACAGCCAAATAGTATCATTAGACGTCACACAATAAATGAGACTCATTGCCTATTGCACAAACCTGAATGTGGTTGCTGAATGTATTTCGATTTTCATGCTTGCAAAGTAACCCTAAGGGTTTGGAAGAGAACTGCAGGAGTTATAGTTCAATTGTTTCTAACTGAAACCGAAAATCATAATTCCGACAAGCTGGTTATTCACTCCGATCCATACTCGGTACCTTGACGTGGTGGTCGGGCTGGCATATCACGACTCATTTTGGTGAAACGCTTGTTCCTTCGAGGTCCTACCACACCAAAAAGGCTGTTTGGATAGTGGTAAAATAAAAAAACAGTCATTATTTTAGTGCAGATTGCTACGCTATGACTGGGATGCGAGGGCGAAGTCGCACTGCTGGCCAGACAGTGGTGACAAAAGTTCAGCGTTTCCCGCCGATGACCGGCAGTACTATCCAGCCTTCTCAATAGGATGCAGGAGTAGAAAAAAATAGGCTTCAAAAATAAGAAGCACCTTTCCCCCGTCCTTCGATATTTAAGTGATGACCGTACGAGGCTATTTTATCCGGTGATAAAGGAATCAAAAATCCTACAAAGGTCACACTTTACAGGCCTCAAGCAGCTGTCCCATGGGGTCTTCAGTCATGCGAAACTAATCCTTTTTCTTTCACGTAATCTGTAGAAACACTTCCACGGTGTGAGTAGCTAGGAAGTACCAATCGTCTGAATGTTTCCAGTAACACACAAAACCCAACCGAACATAACCTAACCTTCTTTGCCTTTACTTCCTCATACCAATATTGTGCCTCTTACAACTTCCTCAACCTTTCCCCTGTGAGATCATTGTTAACGGTTAACGATACCAGCCAGCAAAACACTATTCCTAGTCTCCTAAAATCTTGATGCCAATTTTAGATTGGGGCTATAAACGTCCGGACCTTGTCACAGATCAGTCAATAGGCATCTTTTGCTAGTGATCTCGAGCCCTGGATGTATGTTAGGATTCTCAGATACGTATGTAAGACCCAAGTGTGGTTACTGACTTGACCTCACCTGGTTATATATATATATATATATATATATATATATATATATATAAAGGCTGTAAAACACGGTAGGTCCTACCCTTTACAGATAATTCAAAAAGATATCGGCAGCTCTCACGGTAATTTCAATTCGCACCTTGAAGATGTAACTCTGCAAGTCTTAACCAGTATCTGCGACTTAGATTTTAAGATATATGGTTTTCAGAACACGCTGACTATACCACAAAAAGATAGGAGGTTTGTAGGTTTCTTGCATAGAATCTTATATTCTCCAGAAGCTAAATTACTGTTGTTTAAAGTTCTTGAATGTGCAATGCACACACATACTTAAACGATTAAAACAGAACCAGGAATTGTGTAGCAGTCCAAACTGTCACACCTCATATCAGTAAACCAAGTGAGAAAGCACCCAGGTCGAAGATAAAGTAATAGGGAAGAAAGCAGTCAGAAGTGACAGAAAATCATAAGAAAACAAGGAGGGACACGAAAATACAGAATTCAGCATGACGACAACGTGAGGGTGCGCCTGCGCCAATCAGATCGATACTGAGCCATGTCACCAAAAGTCTCTAACCACTGGTTTATATTGGTATGCGAACTCCAATCGGGAAATCTATATTCCCTTCCACGGATGACGTTAACGATTTTATGCACTGATGCCATGTTTTAGTTTGACCGCCACTAACCTTTATGCAGCCTAAACCTACTTCAGCTAACATTTTCAAAAAGGAGGATGGTGACTAAACATGAGTAGCAAATGTCTCAACCGTCTGAATCGATGAGATAGACCAGGTCGCATACTGCTTTCAGATCAAGAAATACAGCTGGTGCCGGTAAGTGTGCCCGTGTTCCAGAACTTGGCAAGGTGAACAAGTGGTCAATACGTCCACGGCCAGGTTTGACACTTGCCTGCTTTCTTCAATTTGCTGTCCCCGAGCTCTTCTTATATGTCTGATGATTATCGAACCTAGAATCGTAGATACTAAGTTCGTTATACTGATTCCCCTGTGGTTATCACAACGAGACTTTCTACCCTTCTTCAAGATTAGGACGATCGGTGACTGAAACCGGTCAGAGGGGATCATACCTGACTCCCATATGCCAGCTAGCACTTCAGTTAACCTAACGATTTATCTTTGACCACTGTCCTGAATATCTCTGGTACTATTCCATCTGGCAAGGCTGCCTTCCTCGTTTCAAACCGCATACACCTTTCTCGACTTCCGTAAGTGTTGGTGGTCGGTCCTATCTCAAAGTTCTTTTCAGGATCCTACTGAATAGTGAGCAGAAGAATAGTAGACGGAGGCTAGTTGAACTATGCCTTGAAGTGTTGCACGAATTTTATAGTCATTTCCTCTGTGACTGAATTGCAGATTCAACCTTAATTATAGCCTGACTAAACACTAACCTTTCTGCCTGTTTCCTTGATAAGTCTAAACAGCTGCTTACTGTTACCTGTCACCGCTGCTTCTTCCATCTCTTTAGCCTTCGTTATGCACTACTGTTTGCAGTCATTGTGCAGACTTTCAGTCAGTTTATATCTGAGTTGCTTCCACTGTTCATTGTGCTTGGAGCCCTTATGAGCGGGTATGTGCGCATCCATTCATTCAGAAGAAGCTGCTGAGACACACTGACCCTTTCTAATAACTTTGAGAATCAGTAACGGTCTTCGACGTTCTTTTTACTGTACACTGATGGTGGTGCCAGGCTTTTTCAGGATGAGTGATGTTCTGTTTTGGAAACTGTCTATACGGTTTCTTGTTACAAGAAAAAATAATGACCTCACTGTCGACATATACTCCAAATAGTCTAGGTGCTGCAATTCTGATACAACCATTTAGGCGGTAACTAAGCATGATAGCTATTCAGGTATTTGCTCTCGAAATACCTACCCTTTACAGCAACAATTGATAGCAGTATGATCTGCCTGTGTTCAACATGACCGATAGCTGCTACCCTGATGTGATGGTCGAGCTTGCATATCACAACGACCCAACGAGCTATGCTGGTGAAACATTTGTTTCCCCGAGGTCCTACCATACCAGAAAGGTTTGTTGGATAGTGGTTAGACGAAAAGCAGCTATCTTTGTGGTGTAAATTACTACACTATGATGGGGGTCCGAAAGCGAAGTCGTACTGCTGCTACCTGAATGGGGTGTGACAGCAGTGAGGTGTTTCCCTTGGATGACCAGCAGAGCCATGCTGATACTGTCTTCTCAGTGGAAGGGGGAGCTAGAAAAGGTCGGCCCCAAAAATAACACTCCATCATGCCTCTCGGTCTGGCGCGACGACAGCGTTGGTTCATTTGTCGTTTCTTTTTCGACCATCCGGCCCCAAAACAACCACACACAAAAGGCTGCGTGTGACAGGCCTCAAGCAGATGTCCAAAGGGTCATGCGGTCACACAAATCTCTTTCGGGTACCTTAAGAAGAAATAACCTTCCACGGTGTGGGCAGCTGGAAAGTGTCAACCGCCCTCACAACTCTATCAGCACTCAAGTTTCTTCAGACCGCTATCCTCCTACTCCATCATTACCTTCTAACCTTCCTTTACGTTTCTCGATTAACGATACCACATCATCTTTAATTTCTTCTAGCTCTGCAGCCTTTAACAACGATCTGAATCTACAGAACAGCATCCCTGGCCTCCTTAAACTACGCTCCAAATTACATATCAGGGACTCGAATGTCTGAACCCTGCGTCAAGTCGGTCAACCAGATTCATTGGCGAAGACTCTGGAAACTCGAGCTATGAATGTGTGATGTGTTTGTAAGATACGCACACAGGACCCAAGTGTGATTATTCAACTAACCTCTCCCGGCCAATCTGATAAAACCGCGAAATTCACCCTACGAGTTTCTGGAGATTAGATGGCTAACTCTCGCGGTCTTGTGGGTGTAGGCGCAACATTAAGCACTAGTGCAGAAAGTTCACTACTAGACTGAATCCAGGTTATAGTCGCCTCTGTGAAGTTCGACTGAACGGCACAGTCAGACCTAAAAGGAATAATGGAACTCGCCGTTGTCTCTTTGTTACCTCTGCTTAAGGACCCACTGACTGTAGTTCAGATGAAGTGAAGGATAATGATGAGTTCTACCGAAAACTATCTAACCTCCTACTGAAAGCCAAACGTTCAAAAGTGGTTGTTGTAGCAGGTGATTTCAATGCACAGATGGATAGACTAAGTGAGGCAGAAAGGCACTTAGGTGGCACTTTCGGAGTCCTGGCTGAACGAACAGATAACGGTGATCACCTACTACAACTGTGCTCAGATAGCCGCTTATTTCAGACATAAAAAAGACACT